GGTGGTCAGTGACGTCAGTTCTCTGGTGGATGCAGGGGCGTCTTTCATTTCGTATGTGTGTTTTTGTATTTAGTGTTGTGTCTGTGTGAGTGCTTGGGATGAACGAATTTTTTATTTTATTATAGTCCCGCATTAATTTTGTCCAGTTAACTGATGTTTCTGCCACATTTAGTGATTGTGGGGGGGTTTATTACTAACATGATTTTGTTTACTTTCTTGTTAATAGTTCATACTGTAAATAATCATTGGGGCTAGTTTTTTTTAATTTTTTAAATTGTTTTATTTTCCTCCCCCGACAGATGATATATTGCACATATGGGGACTAGTTAGTATTTTCATGGAGACATTGAGATATTATGGTGGATGTGGTGAGAAAGGTAAGTAAGAATGTGTTGTTTTGGTGTAAGGAATATTGTAAGTATGATTGGGTCAGCGTTTGTGGCTAGCTAAGTTTAAAGTTAAGACAGAAAACTGACCCCTTCCCCATTTCAGCCTTGTGCAACATTTTCTGTTTTATTCAGGAATAAATATCCTCAGTTCAGATCTGTCTTGTCTAGAAGACAAAATTCTACATTTGCTTGTCTGAACATGCTTTTGTGCATTAACACCAATTCTTAGTTTGTGAACTTTTTGCCTTCTTACTGTTAATTTGCCTTGAATATATTGTTTGCTTGCTTGATATTTCATTTTTGCCCTGTTCCTTTTTTTTTTTATATTGCAAATTTTGTTAATTGTTGGACAGTTCTGTTATTTATTTTGCATTTGACTATGGCTACTCACTCCACATGACTAATAACACTAATGGCATCAGTACTGATGTCAAAGTCAATGGGTACATACTGGTAACTATTCAGTGATAAATACTTAGGTATCACTGAAAGGCTTCAAATTGGAAACCCAGTTCAGGATAATGCTGACAATAGCAGTGCTCACCTGAGTATAGCCAATCTAGAGTGTCAGAAACATTGCTCTTCTGAAGACTTAAGCATTCACTTGAAAATTGTATGAAACATGGATTGTCAAAGTTTGGCTTCGGGGAAGAGTCAGAGCCATGGAAATTAGATGCTACAGAAAACATCTTGAACATCAGCTCTACTGACCATGTAACCAATGCCAGAAGATCAACCAAGTCATCAGGCCACACGATGTCCTCATCATCAGAAAGTTGAAGTGCTATTAGCACATTTACAGATCTGACTGACTTACAAAGACAATCTTATAAGACAATGGAGAATTGAGGGCAATAAAAGCAGACAAAGAAAGAAGTAAGGGGTTTGGTTGATTTCATTTAGTGGCATTTCAACACCTCTATGGGTTATTTAATGCTGAAATCTAAATATTTTGAACACAATTTTATGGCTTCAACTACAGATAAAATGTATTGTTGGTAATTCTACTATAAAATGTATTACTGGTCATTTTGCTATAAAAATGTACTGTTGGTCATTTTTTTTATATAAAAATGTATTTTTATACTTTCATAGTGTTTTGCTTTTGTTTGGTGATTCACTATTTGCCCATAGCTGGGACTAACAAGTGCTACCATCCCAGAAGTGGGAGTAAAGCATCAGCAAGTTGACAGATTTGAGCATTAGTGAATCATAGGGAACTGCAAGGGAGAGGGACAGATAGAGAGAACTAATCTATCATAAATCATCTGTGGTATCTCAATGACTCTGCATTGGTTTATGGAAAAATGTTACTTACACTTGGATGTTCAGCAAGAGGAAGATATTAAAATATACCAAAAGAAATATAAACATTATGAAAAGTCATAAAAGTTGTTTGGTCATGAAATAGAGGATGTTGATTTTCTGTTCAAGATCATTCTTATCTCAACCATGACTATCAAGGCCATCAGCATAGCCCCTCTCATCATCAGTACATTGGTCTTGGGAGGGAAAGCAGGATCATTGTTTTCTATTGGTTGATTCATTTGGGATGTGGCATGGGATGCTTAAATGGTCAGTAACCATCTCATAATCTGTGTTTGTAAGGTATTTTTTTGACTGTATATCTTTTTAAAAATGCTATATCCCTTTAGAACATTGGTGATCATAGCTTTCCACAGATTCCTCATCTTCACTGTGTGTAAATTACCAGGCTTTCTTGAAAAAGATTGTGTAATGGATTCCTGTTGCCTTCCTCAAGAGTTGAAATTCAGTTTTTCTTCTCTTAATCTAGTGGCGAGCTAAGGCTAGAGAACCCAATCTACTCTCCTATTTAACCTATAGCTGGGGGAGAGATGAGACAGATACATGCCTTTCCTAAAGGCATTTGCACAAAAGTAAACAACAGATTAACTCAGAATTTAAACTCAGCTGTTTCCAATTTCTGTGCTAATACACTACCCACATATACTTTAATTACATATCATTTTTAACAAATATATTGAATTGTTTAAAAGGTTTGTTCAATTTTTGTCATTAGATGGCATTAAGAGTATTGGATTATGACAAGTGTTATATCCATATACTTTTTTTTTTATAAAATATCAAAATTGCCATATAATTCTTCATTCTATTATAAAAGGAATATCTTAAGCATATTATGCTTATTTTAAAAAATGTGAATGAAACACTACTAAAGAAGTTGTGCAGTGTAAAAAAAGAAACTGTAAATGATCAAATATGTCACAAGTGATTTGCAAAGTTTTATACAAGAGATATTCCACAGCCAAGTTGATAATTATCAAATAAAAATATTACCTGTAACATTATATGATGCAGGTGATAGCCAACATACTCAAAATATTAAAATAGAGGATGGAATTATGAAGTTGCCTAAAAATGGCTGAAGAATAGAACAGTAAATATATTATTCAATGAAGTTGATATAAAAAATAAAACATTTGTTTTTATTTTTATATAAATTTATTTTTTTCCAAACTCATTATTTATTATGATTATTTAGTAAAAAAAATTATTTTTTTCATTCATTTTCGATACATTTTTAGGCAAATATAGAAAACCTTTTAAGATATGATTTTTACATTTTATATTTGTATTTCAATATAAATTTTGGATTTGTGGAAAATGCTGTTACTGAATGAATGGTATGGTTTGAGTTTTAAAAATAGGCAAGAAATTTTGGTTTTGAAAATAGGAAGATGAGTTGGCTGAAAAATCAACAATCATTTCAAAGGCTGTAGTTGAAAATGACCACAGCAAGAGAATTTGTAACAGATATACTGAATGGAATCAATTCAAATCATTTATGGTAATGGTGAGATGAACCATTTCCATACAAGAAACATTTGGCATTTATTGGCCAAATAGTTAGCATTGATGTTGGTCGAAATTTATAAAATCTTTCTCTTAAAAGTTTTTCAGGTCAACAGACTTCTCAAGTTCATTGTTACTGATCTTTCTAACAGTGATTAGAGTTTCCATTCTAAAATTTTGTTTCAAGTAAAGAAAGCCAACATCATGATTATATCATTATTTTCCTTTCTAGTTATATGTGCTATCCATATTAGCTGTTGTGACCATTGGAAATCTTCAAGTGATATTTTTGTTATTTGCTAAAATTCTTTGTGATTCTGGAGAGCCAGTCTATAAGATCTGGTGAAAGATTCTTCTTTAAGATTTAGGAGTTTTATTTGCTTGAAGCCATTTTTAATGATTGGTCTGAGAAAATGTTGTTTTCTACTAATAGATTTGTGTTTTTTTTTTTAGTTATTTATTTTTTCATAGTAAAAGTTCACCCAATACAATGTCTAAGAGCAACCCATGGTAGAGAATGTTTAAATGATCAATTATGGGCTATTGGCAGTGAAAAATAAGGTTTTGTTTGATTAATTAGTTCTGTTTGAATTGAACGAGAGTAAAAAAAATAAATAAAGTGTATGTTGAAAAATCTGCATTCATTGTGTATTTAAACACAATGAATGCAGATTTTTCAACATACACTTTATTTATTTTTTTTTACTCTCGTTCAATTCAAACAGAACTAATTAATCAAACAAAACCTTATTTTTTATTGTTTTGCATCATCACTTGTCACAAAACAAATTTGCATAATAACTGGAAATCTACACAACAAAAGAATATCATTCCTGGAGTAAAAGAGAAAAGGTGTCCCTTGTTTTGATTGATATGGGAATTGCTTGTTACATTATAGCTTTCTTTAAGGTAGTCAAACTATTAACATCCTTAGATATGTAAAATAACTTGGTTAGACTAGAGCATTCAAAACTCAAACGAATAGTGCTACACTTGGAGATAAGAAAGAAATATTTAAAAAATGAATAGAATGTTGACTTTATTGCACCTTATCTATTTATCTGACTTCTACGGGTTTTAGCATTTAAAAAAAATAATCACTTCTTCACAAATTGAAAACCAGGATCAAAGTTTCCAGTTAAACAATTTTTTGAATGAAGAATTCTTGAGGGGGGCAAGTGGATTTCAGTAATTTAATGCACGTTAGACGAATCATGACAAACACGTTCGAATCTCACTCAAGTAGCTAGCTTCTTGACTCTTGAGTCTTGAGGTTATCAGACCAAGGAGGTGATACCATCATGCGGCACCTTTGGCAAGTGACTGAAACCATGAGGACCAAAATCTTGTGAGTGAGAGCTAGATATCTGGTAGACGGAACTGTTCAGAAATAGTAAATGGAGATGCTAACTAGCACAAAGTCATTGTGATTGAGGTTTTGAGCCTTCTGGCCTTGTTCAAACTGTTCGATGGATGCATTCTCTCCCAGAAATTCAAGGTTTGCTCAGCATAGTTACAGTAAATCACAAACACAAATTTGCCTGCAACAAACATTGACAGGCCATTATTGCCATTATGTCAAGAAATAGATGAAGCTGATAACTTAGTTAAAGAATATTTCAATTGAGCAAATAATTTCATCTGTGATTCCCCCCCCCCAAAAATAAAATTACAATTTCACGTCGACCAAATGAAGATTTAAGAAGAGGGATGCATATAAAATAAACAAACAGTGAACAAGAAAAGTTTAATTCTTGATTCATACAAAATACCAACCTCTGGGGGGGAACTACGGTCTGAAATTTCATCACATCCCATAGTGTCGACTGGGGCATCTTGGTGCTTTCTCATTTCTCGGATATTATTGAGCAACAAAGTCCAATTGCTAGGTTCCCATTTTAACTTTTTCACGTCTTTTGCCTTCTCACTTTCCTCAGGGTCACTTTCTTTTTCTATTTTTATAAAATATGGGCATTTTTGCTTATCGTCCTCTAAACTTGTCCTGTTATTCTCATGGTTAACATCTTTGTCATCATATTCTATTTTTACTTTCTTCAATCGATCTAGATTTGGCTTCTTGAGTATATTTTTGTGGGCGATAGGAGTTGAATTTTTTAAGGGCTTCTTTTCGTCTTCGTTTAGTTTAGGTTCTGGTTTTAACGAAGTAAAATGATAATTGCACTTTTCTTCATATTCTGGATCATATATTTCAGTTTTAATAGAAACTTCCAAAGTATTATTTAAATTATTATCGCAGTTATTAATTTTACTTTTTTCACTTCTTAATCTTGCGTAACGCTTCTCAACACGTGGTTGTTTCGTGGCCTCAGGAGACGACATTTTCTTTTTATCATTTACTTTTTCTGTATTTTCAATATTATTCTTGCCACTGGAATGAAATTTAGTCCTTGAACGTAGGCAGCGGCCTGGCATATTCATATGATGCAAACAATCCGAGAAAAATAAAAATTTCCGATGTAATAATAAACAACCTCGTCTTAAAATTACAAGATGCATATATCAACACAACAAAAAGGGGGAATAACTCGTATTTATTAAAACTGGTATGAATTTGAAAGAAAAAAAAAATTTAAAAGTTGTTTCAGACTTTAAATTCTTTGTCAAATGCTGAAATTAACTTACTATCAATTATTTTATTTAAAATTGTATAATCTATAAATTTTTATCTAAAAATTTCAGTGCATAATGTTCATTCTATGTTGTTAATATTCCCTACTGAATTAAGTGTATTGATAAAGAAGGAGACTAGTGCGTTCAAAATAATAACTTCCTTCACCCATTCACTTCAAATTTGGAGGAATGATGAAAAAGAGGGAGAGGAATTCATGAGCCTATGTGAAATTTTCTTTGGACTAATGAAAAAACCTTGCCTTTACAAAAGTTGGTCAACCAAGAAAAAGAGGGAAATAAATTTGTGAGCCTACACGAAATTCCTTTAGACATAAAATGAGGAGAAAAATTAATGAACGGAAGTGTGTCTGAAGTAACGTGAAAGGTTTTGTTTCAGCTCCTTGCGACCAGTGTTGAAGTTCTTCCCAGTGTAAAATTATTCATCAATTATATTATTGGCCTCTAACCAAATACACAACACTTCAAAGAATTTTCTCTCAACAATTCAAGAAAGCTAAGTATTTCAAACTATCTCTCTTCATCTACTTTTGAACGTATGCAAACCATATATTTCTTCAATGAGCAACAAACTCTCTTACCTTTGTCATTTTTTAATATTATTTTGTGTAAGACCATTTAATCTGTTATATGAGCATTTCCTCTCCAGGACAATACGTTAAAACTATGGACTTTAAGAATTCTGATTTCTTTTCCTGAAATGAGTTACTGAAACTATTTCAAGCATGTAAATTTGTGAATAAATTCCTTACCTTGTTTTGTTAAAATTACCTGCATGTTTCCTCGTTATTATTATACTTCATTAATCTTCTTGGCATGAGTAAATCAACTGTTCATTTTTAACCCTTAAGCTCCATGCTACTCTAATATGTTGAATATTTTTTATTAAGCTCTGAACTTTTTGTATCTATATATATTTAGGTTGTAAATGTTTTTGTGTATACATGCCAACAGTAATATTTTCACTAGAAGAAACATTTAATGCAGTTGTACAAAAATTTATTTTTACTATTTTAAAAAATGTTAGCCTTGAATAAATATTTAATCATCTAGATGGCTTTTTAATGCATGTTCTTTTGAGAGAAGTGTATTTTTTATGAAGGCTAGCCGATTTGTGTAAAAAATTGTTATACTTGTATATTTTTATTTTTTGACTTAGTGGTTAAAGCCCACTAAAATTGTAAAGGATCCATTTCTAGTTTATGGAAAATTATTTTTTTGTATATACTGACCAAAGAGAGATGTGGTCTTAAGCTCTAGTAATGACCTGAGTGATGGGGAGGGCTGTGTGAGCCTAATTTTCCAAATATATAGAGCTCAGGTCAGTTGATGAAGGAGAAGACAATAAGAAGACAAGGCAAATTAACACCAAGAAGCAGAAGGCATTTGACATCAAGAAGTGAGCATCAAGAAGGCACAAGGTTACCAGTCAGCTGTAGAGAAATTAAAGAATTTTGAAGTCCAAGTGAAAATTCTCCTGTGCTTGAACAACAAAGAATGAAAAGAATACAAAAGTCAAGAGAGAATACCATGAAAATGAATGTGTCCCAGTGAGGGACACTTTTTACCCACTGAAGGCTAGAGCTAAAAAGCTGACTAGGGAGAAAAATGTCTGCCTTTCTATAGTAGCACCTCCTAGCAACGGCTTTTTAGTAAAATTAAGTGGGATAACTAACATAAACTTCAAGCACACAAAGACTATTATAAATGACAAAATTTAAAACTTTATTGTAAACCTATTGCATAAAAAAAATTCTTATATTTTACAAAACCTTATTGTTCATGACTTGTATTTTTAAGTGAATTAAAGAAAGTTCTTTTGAAGAAGTTAGCTTTTAGTTATATGTATGTGATAAAGTGTAAATTTTCTTGTTTGTACTGGAATGTGAGAAGGTTGGTTCTTGGCAAAAGCTTGTAAGTTGAAGATAGCTACATAGATAGTTTGAAGAGCTAGAGAATGCCATAAATTTCATGGGAAAATGTCTTTGTTGTGCTGAGAATGAATGACATATTTGTTGAGAGTCATCAGTTAGAGGAACACTTAACATAGTAAAAGTTTTCTTTTTGAATAATGGTGGTATGCACACTATGTAATGAGTGACAGAAACAGTGAAACAGGTGATAAAAAGACAGATTGTGATCACTGTATGGTATACAAATTCAGTTGTTTAATTGCATCTTTTTTGATGACTAATGTTTTACTAGAATAATACTTAGAGAGCTCATCGAGCAGATCATTACTATTGTGGTGAGTTTGATCTTCATTGGGTTCCCCATTGCAGTACTGTTGTTTCATATGTAGGGTTGCCAACTTTGTCAAGTTATAATGAGGGACATAAAAATGTTCAATTTTAAATTAATTCCTGTTGATACACAATATAATTGAAAATTATGTTGATTTTTTACCTTCTAAAGTCAACAAAGGACAAGGACAGAAAGAGCAAAATAAAAGACTGTTCTATCCAATAAAGGATGATTGGAAACCATAACCATATGAGGCTAAGTTTAGTGAATAATAATGGCATATTAACCTTTTAAGAAATGGGATAAGTGAGAATAATTTTAAAACCATTCAGTTAGTCAGGTATGTGCCATGTGTGATACACATGTAGGTGATTAAGTATCTTTCAATACATGACTGATGAGGCAGATTTTTTCCTGTGGTAGACCAGTTGCCATCCAAGGCTATAGAACCCAGTCTATCCTGCTATTTACCCATATCTGGGGGAGAAGAAGAGGATCCATACCTTTCCCAAGGTATGAATCCCAAGTAAGTGAATGTAATGGATTTGACTGAAATTCAAACTCGGCTCTCTGATTCCCCCAATCCATGTCACTATCCATTACTCCACCGTGCCTCAATTACTTAAAACAATTACATTGTAAGTAATGATAATATTTTACATATAATTATCCTGTTCTGTGGGTAATGTTTTCTTTAATTCCTCCCTACTGACAATCTTTTTTTTTCATGATTTTCAATCTACCATATATAATTACTGAAACTTGCTCACACAAATTTTTAATGAAAATTGCAAAATTCTGTGTTTAATCTGTAGAAAATTCAGTCATCCAAATTTTTTTTTATATTAAAAATCTGAACTTCCAAATTCCAAACAATAATAAAATAAAAATAAAGAAAACATTGATATGCTTGTTAATAAATCATCTGTATTTATAAACATATGTAGATGAATTCAAAAGAGTTAAAAGGTATTAAAAATAGTTCTTAGTTGAGTTAAAGTATTTGGGTGGTTGGTTCATAGAAGAAGCTGTGGTTTAGACAAGAGTTTTAAATAGTTGTTCCACAGAAAAAAAGCTGTAGTTGAAAAAAAAATTATTGTTAGTGAAGATGTACTGTCTTTGTTGTTGGAGATGATTCATTTGAAGTCACCAACATATATTGTTTTCAGCACAGAGTGGAGGTGGGTGGAGACAACCGCATTTCTATTTTTTGGAAGTTGAAATCTATGGGTTTTTATAAGAAATTTTTTCTGAGAGTAGGCTTGAGAAAAATAAGAATTTAGTTTTCTCTGACTAGTCAAATGTTTCACATGGTGATGTTAATTTCTAACCAATAGACACTTTGATTTAAACAGTGTGTTTTGTATTGTGGTTTTGGCATGTTTGTAATATTGTGTTATTGGGTAGAAAATAAAGTTTGGGTACTTTTTAATGTGGTATATATGTGGGTATGTATTTGTGCTGGAAATAGGGTTTATTTCCTATAAATTATTTTTTCTCTACTTTCAGAAATAATTTCATTTGTTTGTATTATACAAACAAATGAAATTGTCTAAAATGTAAGAATGGTAAAATAGTAATAAAAATCATTGTAAGAGGAATAAGAAAAGGCATAACCCCCCCTACTTTGAATGGTTTTAAATGCAGTCTCCACTAAAACACAACCTTGAATATTGTTTCATTTGTGCACCTAGAATTTTCTGTGTTACTCTGTATGCAATCATTATAGTGAATTCATTTCATAAATCCTATCTGTAATGTCACAGGTATTAGAATTTAATTTGAGAACCACTACTATAATGTTTTACAAGTTCATGTTCTAGGCTCTTTTCTGATCTTTGCCCCAACTTTCAAATCTGGCTCCTTAGCCTTGATGCTTATCAGAGATGAGAATACATTTTCTGATGAATGAGAGAGCTGGAAAAAATATAAAAAAGAATTTGACCACTCTTACTCTGACTATGGTGGCATAAAGTCGGGGGTGGGGATGCGGACACTTGCTTCCAAAAGCTAGCTTTCAAACCAGAAATAAGAATACATTTTCTGATGAATGAGAGGGACAAAAAAGTGCATAGCAATTTTGGAGTGAAAAGTACCTGATATTTCTGAGTCTTCTAATCTCGATAAATACAGAGAATATGTGCCTCTTTGGCAGTGAGTACTTGACATTGTGATAAAGAATGGGATAGTAATGGCAACAGTAACACGGGTCTTTTCTGGAACCTGTTTCAAGAAAGAAATCTACATGCTGGGCTCTAAAGACAGAATGTCGGCCCTCTACTAAAAACTAATTGAGATCTGCTTCCTTGCACCTAGAAATTCCTGTCGTTGGCCTACAAACTCATTCAACTACAAACTACGGATCTTCAAATTGTTTCCCCTCTCAACAAGAGCTCTGAAGAAATTTATGTGAGTGTTAACCTCTTAAAGACAATTTACTTGCTTAACGAACTTTTAGGTGCTCAGAGAAATATTTTGAGCAAGCCTTTATATGAACATTTTTTTCTTCTTTTAAGTTAAAGGAATTTTCCTCTCCTTTTATTTCTCTCATATTTTGTGTATATTCTTTTACCTTTTTTGTGTGTATGTAAATAAACATTTTCTTCTATTGTTACACCTCGAGCAGGAGTTTGAGTTTTTATTCTTCTGCCTAAAAAAGAGAAGTGTTCGCTCTAAACTTTCAAGCCGTTGTTGCTTTTATCAATTCTGTTACCTTTAACCTTAACCCCTTTTATGTGGGTAAGCCAGGACAAATTTCCCACACAGGTAAACAGTTTGCACATATTTCTTATAGTAGATATATTTTCCTTTTGTTTTTATGGGTTTATTTACAATTGTGTTAAGACTTTCTTCGGTAGAGATAATCTTAAAAGTTTTTTAAAGGTAAAAAGTGTGAGAATAAAAACCCAGTGCAAGGTTTGTGAGCTACTAATTAATGTTGTCAGTAATCTCAATCTGAAACATTTACTTATTCCTTTACTAAACTGACATATTTACTCAAAATGGTACTATACACTGTAAATACATTATTTTTCTGTTTTTAGAGTCTTGCAAACAATTGCTAATGTGTTTGATACTTACTAGGTTTACTAGTAATGTAGCCTTGTGCTAGACTAAGTTAAGAAAAGTAAATATCTAATTCATGTCCTCCATTAAATTTCATTTAAAAAGTATTTAACTAATGGTTATAGTACGATAATGCAAAAATTAAATTAATCAAGATGTTACTTGAAATTAAAATGCAAAATACTGTAGGAGAGTTGTTTTTGAGTTATCTTCCCTTGATGTTGTAAGCGGAGGGGGGAAAAAGAAAAAGATTAAAAAATGATGGCGCTTCCATCGGGGCTTCGTTTGCACGGAAGCTTGTTCGGGTCTGTCTAGAAGAGGAGGAGGTGGCACATGGCTCAGCAGGCCCCCAAAATGCCGTCATACCCGAGGTCTGCTGGCTGGCCGAAAACCGGTTCTGGAACGGGTGGAACCGGAGCCGGCGGCTCGCAACAACAGCACAGTACGGCCAAATATGGGAACTTACGACTCTCCTCGTCGTCCATCACGTTGGAGAGGACCATCAACCTGTAAGTTAAGATGTCGTCCATCATACATAATAAAACTAATCTTAGGTTGCATGCATGTTTAAGTTGTTTAAAAAGATTTTCTAACGCTTTATTTTGCTTATTTCGTTAATATATAAATTACTTTTATGTCCAATAAGTCATTAGTGAAAGAAAAAACTAAGTTTGTTTCAAGTGAAAAATCTTCTAAGGGGAGACAATTGTTTTTGACCTTAACTCCGCAGAAACTTGTTTTTAGACCAACGTTCATACTTTATTCTGAATTTAATTTTTCTTTTTAAGATGATAAAATATTTTTTATCTGCGGAAAATATCTGATATATTTTCCCGAAATAAAGCTACAATAATAAACTTCGGCGCTGGCTTTAATTGTTTTTTTTTTCTTTTTTTAAACCAGAAAATTAAAAGCACGAGACTAGGCCTAAATTCATTTTTGAATGTACAATGTACTTATGATGTTAAAACTTGAGGCTTGAATTTGATTATTTGAATATTAAATAAACTATACATAGCAACAAACAAAACTAAAAGAAAGAAATCACTTATATCAGTTAATTTTTCAATAAGTTTACTTTGTAAAAAAAAATTTGAAAGTTAGATTTCTATATTTTAAAAAATAATTCAATAAATTCAATTTCTTTGTTTTTTGTATAGAAAAAAATCAATTTATAATTTTTTTTCCAAATGTCTATATTTAAATTTTTTTTTTCTTTTTGGCGGATTCAAATTTGAAGAACTATTCTTTGTTTTGTGTTTTCTCTTTTTTGTTTCCATTTGTTATTTCTAAATAAGTAGCGGCAAGAAAAAGGGTTGCAATAAATTAAATTGAACTTTTATATATCGACGCCGTTTTTTTTTCTTGTCTGCAGCAAATTTGCAAGATAAGTGATAAATTAAATAATTATGTTAATAAAAAAAAAAAAATAGCATGCAATTTATTAAATTCGCATCTGTTTTTATTATTGGATTTTTTGGGAATTAATTTGTTTAATACAACGGCGTAGAGAAGAGAAAATATAACAATTGGTATTTTAATCCCCCCCGCCTTTTTCTGTAGAGGCCATAACAACCAATTTCAAATAACATTTTTTTTCTTAAAAATATCACCAAGCATGAGATTATACAACATTTAACAATGACATGTTAAATTTCATAAAATCAGAAGTATTGCGTTTTTATTTTTTTTTTTACTTTTTATTCTTAAATTCATCATTTTTTTTACTTACGAGCTTCTTAACGATTGAGATATATTTTTCGTTGTATTGAAAAAAAAATGTTCGTTTTTTTTTAATTTTCTTTTGTAAATCACTTTTTTTATTATAATAAAAAAAATTGATCAAAAAACTTGGATTTGAAGGCTTTAAAAAATGTTACGATTTTTACAAAAATTTAAAATTTTTGTTTTGTTAATTTAAATGATGCATTTTTTTGTCATTTATTTTATCAAAAAACGACTGTAACGCGAAATGCTTTCGTCGTTATTCACAAATTATACAATTTTTAATAATTATTTAATAGATAAATAAAAAGGTGTAGTATGGTGGTTGTTGTAGATATCACAGTTTGTGTTCCTGGCGCCATAAATAAACTTGAAATTTTTAATTGGTCAAACTGATTTTGAAAATGACTCTTGTCTTCTTTTTGGAAGAGTTTTTAAAAGTACATGTATGACTGACTGAAGAAGAAACTGTAGTGGTACACTGGTGATTTTTTTTTTTTTTGTAATTTTTTGCTGATTTTATGAATCGGGTACTTGAAAAAAATATTTGGAATTCTTTGTCTTTCTTTTTTCCAGCTAAGAGAGTGACCCCAAAAGAAGGTGCAAACATTAAATCGGCATGTTTATTGTTTATACAAATAAAAATTTGCGTATTACAGATAGGATAAGGAACAAACATTTATAAATTTATTTAACATTTCATTTTGATTTTTGGTATTTTTAAAAATTTCGTGTTTATTTTTTCATTGGTTAGACCTACTTATGCCACTTTTCCCACATCGTTGCTATTGAGATTGATGCACTTTGATCAATTGGTATACAAACGCCCTGGCTACCTGGATCACAAGAGCAACAAAAGATGATGGTCTAAAGGGATCAAGTCAGGGCTATATGCTGAGGCAACTCTTTTGTCAAGTTGGCCAGGTGTAGGGTGGCATTATGCAGCAGGATGATATGCTTAAGCAAATGGTGTGGTCTCTTTAAAGTTTTCTCTCTCTCTTGTTTCAGACTCTCCAACTAACTGTCTGACCATTCCGTGTGAAGGTCATGAACAGAACCACTTTTGCATCTCAGAACAATAATGCCATCAGTTTCTTCACTGACTCCTCAGTCAGATGGTTGGGATGTTTTATCATATCCATTGCATAGTCCAGATTGGGTTCTTTCAGATTATCATCTATTTTGGCCCCAGAAATGGCAATTTTCTGGAAAGCAGGCCCAAACAGATGACTATATTCTTCTAGAAATGTAAGGGTGGATCCAATTGTTTAATGCTGCATTCTTCAATGATGGTATTTATGTGCTTGCATATCAAAGTTCATCAATTCTGATGGTGACTAGAAGCAAAAATAACATATGCACCATGTTTTATTTGTATTAAGCATGCTTGATTAGTAAATGTCTGTACCTTGCTTTTTAGACCTATCTTGTACTTTGAACAAATATTTATCACTTGTAAATATTTTAAGTACCTTGGCTTTAGCCTCAAAATAAGTGCTAGAGACATGAAACTGCTGACCTTCTTTTGGTGAGGAACAATTCTTGTCATTCTTTATTTTAACAAATAACACTATATTTTTCTCAGGTTAGAAAATGGCTTACTGCAAAAGTAACAAATGTCTCTTATTAAAGTATCTATTCATAAAACACTGAATTTAATTCTCTAATTTGATTTTTTTACAACTTCTAGTATGACTCTTTAAATGCAGCAGTTGAAGATAACTTAAAACATCATAGATAAAAAAAATCCAATGGAACAAATGCCACAGCATTAATAAAGCCTGGATTAGGCAAAATTATGAAGCGATAACTTGTTAAAAGATAAAAAGAAACTTTGATGTCATGCCAAGAGTTGTAAAAGTAGGTGTTGAAAATCTAATTAGTCATCTTGTGTTGGATACCCTTTTGGTTCAGCAGTGGAAAATTTTGACTTATAGAAGGATTAATTATGTAAGATGTTAGAGAAATAACATCAGGAAAGAAAGAAAAATTATTGCTTGTATGTATATCATAATATGAGCAAAAATATTTTGGTGGCAAAAATTGACAGCTACTATCTTCTAACCACTGTAGATGTCAGAATTAGATAAGCAGGTAAACTGGCTTTGAGCACTTCATTTTGATGTGCTTTTATGTTGTAGTTGTGTAGCTGCAGACCAGTAACAGTCTCCATGCTAATCAATGTTCATTGCTAAAATTATCTTTAATGGACCCTTGAACTTGACCTTTATCAATGAAAGGTCACCTGTTTTAAGGAGTCTCACTTTTCTCTGCAGGTGCATTGCAGAGTATCTGTGCATTTGTTATCCTATGGAAGTAATGCCATTTGAATCCACTAGTGGATGGTTTGGACAACATTCTGCTGGGAAACTTTGCATCCTCTCATTCATATGGAGGGTACTTGGTTGCATACCACCTACTTTGATATCATTGAAGACAAAGTACACACCTTCATGGCAACAGCATGTTATGACAGTAGCATCTTTGAACAGGAAATGTGCTCATTCATACTGCAGGAATTGCATAGGTATGCTTTCAAGAACACTAAGAAGAATTCATTGTGTTGTCTTGAGAACTAAACTCTCTACATTTTGGTTTCATTGAGGGCTTATGAGATATGCTGAACCAACAAATTCATTTTGCATTGTAGTGAAAAGACCTGTAGTTAGAATCCTGGTACCAGATCTCTAAAGAAATCTTTAAAAGACTTGTAACATCTTTGATTAAGAGCTATTCTGTAGGCACATGGGGACCAACATGCATATCATCATAATGTATTTGCTTATTAATTTTGCATTAAAAACAACTGCTTGCGTTCTATTAACTTTCATTAATTCATTTTGAAAGGGGAGCTACTAACTTGAAATGGCTTGGTGTCACACTGTCATTTTGCTCGTTTTCTATAATTTATTGTGTAGCCACATTTCTTAAACTATTGAAATTTAATTTTTACAATAAAAATATACTTAAATATTTACATGTAATTATCTTATTTAAATTAGGATTTACAAAAATGTTAATTCTGATGCTTCAGTTTAAAGTATTTTCTTGTGGAAGCTGATTATTTCATTAAATCTGAGCAGGACCCAATTTCGACTTCAATATGTTTATTGAAATGATCGTTTTTCCAATTTGTTTTTCAATTTTGAAAATATATTTTTCTCAAATTTTTTTCTTCCCCAGATACCCATTAACAAACTATACATTTGGTACGAAGGAGCCACTTTATGAAAAGGACAGTTCTGTTCCAGCAAGGTTCCAGAGGATGAGAGAAGAATTTGAAAAGATCGGAATGCGAAGATCTGTGGAAGGTGTTTTGATTGTCCATGAACATGGCTTGCCGCATGTCCTTCTTTTGCAGTTAGGGACAACATTTTTCAAATTGTGAGTTTTTACTTTGAAACCATCCACCCAAGATGTTGACTACTTTTTGAAAATGATCTGGCTTAGCTGACCAATTTCAATATTTCTCCTGTCAACATTAATATCAAAATTATAAATGGATCCTTTGTTTAGTGTTCAAATCTATGTGGCATAAATCAGGATAATAGCATTTTTAATGCTTTATATATTAAAAAACAGACTTTTAGTGAGAATCTTAAGTAATCTCTTAATGAGAAGGAATGCTTAATTGCTACACTATCAGATTTTATTATGCAAGTCAATGTTTTCACAATAAAATTGGTATGAACCAGCTTATGATGGTAAAATTCTCAGGATACTCTTATGAGCAATACAGTTTCAGCTTGTAATATCTATTCTCCTTAAGAATGTTAATTTGTTTTGGTGTTGTCAGGTTTCATTATGCAAGGTTTAACATAATTTATTTTAATAAATAAATCAAATCCAAAATGTATAGGCTATAGCAACATATTTGATTAACATCTATATGCCTGAATATATTATTTTACATTGTGATGTAAGCTTTTTAACATTCTATAACCTTCATCAGTTTTCTACTATTGATTTTGTCATTTTTTTTTCTACATTTTCCCTTTAACATTACTTGCAACTTTTTATTGCTTTTCACACACATACACATATATATATATATATATATACACACACACATACATTGAGTTGGATTGATGTGAGTTTGTGACCTTGGGTTTTATGCTATTTGTGATCGTCAGACAAACTGATTAATTTTTAAATTTTGGATTTATATATATATATATATCAGTGTTATTATGGTAGTGGGAGGAAAAATTGTCATCGGAACGCCACTCATGTTTATGCAAACATATATACATGCATGTTCATTCATTGACGTATGCAGACATACACATGCACGCTCACTCATTGGAGCTCACACAAACATAAACATGTGAACAGTGTGGAACTGGGCATTCCATAAAATCACTGATATACACAACCATATATAAATCCAAAATTTAAAAATTAATCAGTTTGATGATCGCAAATAGCGTGAAACCCAGGGTCACAACAAACTCACATCAATCCAACTAAATATGTTAGCTCTATCACTGATATTGAGTGTTTTCTAATAAATACTGTGCATATATAATATACAACTAATATATATATAAAAAAATTGCATATATATATATATATATATATATATATATATATATATATATATATATATATATATATATATATGTTTCATTAAATAATGTAGACAAGTTTTGTCTATTTCTTTTAAGCAAATTCCTTTCATATTGTCTGATAAGCCTAATAACATTATCATTGAAAGACTGAAGAAAAATCCTATCTAAGCTTTTGGCTTACATAAGCTATCATCAAGGATGACAATTATATTACAATAAATTAAACAATACACGGACATAGCAACAATGATAGTCTGTTTTTGTTTGCATGGTAGATTTCCAAGCAACGACAAACTCGTGCATACGAGATGTTGGAAGCAAAAATCACATTGTGGCCAATGACGTCACATATCACCCTGTGAGAGTAAAAACGAGAAGTGTTAAGTATTGGAAGCCATTGGTATAAACTGATGGCATCTGTTATCAATTATAGGCATTTAAGTATATTTGTGGAGTTTTTATAGTTTATTTAGTTCAGGTTAGGTTTCAACTGTTTTATGTATATAGCTTCAAGAACTTTTAGTTTTTGTTTATTGTTTTCATGTTTAAGTATAGTTGTGTGTGTGTATGTGTGTATATATATATATATATATATATATATATACACACACATTTTACATTTATAATATCTTTTAATAATGGGCCATAAATTTTCTATTGGATTAATATCTACAGAGGCTGGGGGCCATTCCATTAATTTGGTGTTTTTGATACATTTTTTGGCAAGGTGAGCAATAATCACCTTTGCCAAATTTGAAAGAACATTGTCTTGCATGAATCTACTCTTTAACCTGGAGCTTCTTGCTTGTAATCTGTACCAATCATTTTTTTTTATTCAACATATGATGTCCCATGTCAATTTTTTTTTTTTTTGGGAAGGGGGTGTATATTTGTCTATTATGGATATTTATATGATGAACAATTCTTGAGCTGAATAATAAAATCTCCCACAACCAAACAAGTTATTGTATATATTTTTAATACTAGCTGAAGTTCATATGATAAATATATATCCTGAAAATTTTAGCCTCTGTTGGTTAATAGCAATTTTATTGTGAAAATATTAATATCTGAAAGTGTATATCTATGAATGGGTGCTGAAAAGTTCATGACTCAACCATGAGAGGATTAAAAAAAAAAAATTCTGATATGTGTGCTGAAAAGTTCTCAACACAATCTACTTCTCAAATTCTTACTTGGGTTGAGAACTTTTCAGCTCTCCCAGGTGTTGAACACTTGCAATAGCATTACATTGAACCTTGTGCAACTCTTGTTCAATGTGTTGTTTTTGATGATCTTCGGTTGAGATCTTGCTTAAGGTATCTCTATCAAAGTGTCAAGCATGATTTTGAATTCAGAGTTGTCCTTTTAGACTGCCAACCATAACGAGATAGCCCACTCTGTCTTGTTATTAAACCCATGGCTGGGTGTGGGGAGAAAAGATGCATACCTTTCCCAATGGTATATGTGTGTACAGGAATGTAATGAACTCAACTGATTTCTTATTCTGAGCCATTATCCATTACACCATCTGCACATCCAAATAATATATATAGGTGATAGAGCTAACACATTTAGTTGGATATGTGGGTTTGTGACCCTGGGTTTCATAGTATTTGCGATCATCAAACTGATTAATTTTTAAATTTTGGATTTATATATGGTTGCATATATCAGTGTTTTTGTGGAAGTGGGAGGAAAAATTGTCATTAGAACGCCACTCATACTTATGCAAACATGCATGTACATTCATTGATGTATGCACACACACGCTCACTAACTGGAGCTCACACAAACATAAACATATGCGAATAGTGTGGGAATGGGCATATATGCGCATCCACGTGTCGTTGCATACATACGCATTTGGTCGCTGTATTCAATGTTGGATTGTGTAGCAAATATTTTTTGTCTGTTGCACTGTCACTGGGCAGACTGTGTGAGCTCCAGTGACTGAGAATGTGTGTGTCTGTTTGTCAATGGGTGTACATGTGTGTATGTTTGTGTAAGTATGAGTGGTGTTCCGATGACAATTTTTCCTCCTACTTCCATAAAAACACTGATATACGCAACCATATATAAATCCAAAATTTAATAATTAATCAGTTTGTCTAATGATCACAAATAGCGTGAAACCTAGGGTCACAAACTCACATCAATCCAACTAATAATATATATATATATATATATATATATATATATATATATATATATCTATATATATATATATATATATAGAGATAGAGAGAGAAAGGGTTGCTGGAAAGTTCATTCTTTTTCTCTCTTTGCATTTTTGTTCAGCTATTTGGCATTTTATTAATGAGGTGTTGACAAAAATAATTATTTTTTCTGCAAACTCTTTTAAAAATGGGATGATCTGGATTTAGTAGGATGAAGTAACCCTCTCAGTAATTTTAAATTTAAAATTTGGCAGCATGAATAAAAGTTTGATCTTGTCCATGTATATGTTAAGATGCATTTAAAAATGATTTGAGGAATTTCAAAATATAAGAATTTTTTCTCTAATATTGTTGTAGATGCATGGGGATGTTTGGGAAAGCTTTTGGCTAAACTGACTTCAAAATCTGACCAGATGATAAAACACATATTTTGTGCTCCCTATTGACTGGGCAGAGAGCTTTTCAACACTGTCATATCACTAGTGTCAAAAAGAGAAGATCTTTGTTTCTGTCTTATTGCCTTTTTTTTTTTTTTTTTTTTTTTTTTTTGTCACTTTTTATGCAAACTTATCAGTGTCTGTCTTTAAATTGAATTAGTTGGATTCATAACTGATTTTATTATCAAAATGTTAAAATGAAATACTTTGCCTCTTTTTCATTATCTAATTTATGATTGTGTATAGTTTCTTTTGAATTTTTTTATTACCTTATTGTTATTTGATGTTTATACAAATCTGTCTTTGAATATTTTTTCCTGATTTCATGAAAACATGAAACATGCACTGTATTTTATTTGAGGAAATCATTGTTTCATTTGTAATGACACTTAATGTCTGTGAAACAGTGGTAATTCATAGATATAAAATATGTAAAAAAATTTGTTCTGAGTTCATCACAAAAAATTTTGTGATGGTATCATTTTTATGGCAAAGAAATGAAAAGCTACAAACTTGGTCTTTCAGTTCCTTCTCATCTCTCTATAGAATTGCCTCTTCTTAACCGAGATATTGCTTTTAGTTTTTCTTATGGTGTTTGTGGGTTGATAATAGACAAGAAAAGAACACATTTAATGCTCATCACAGTGCTTTTATTATCTGTTCTGAAGAGAATGCAACTTTGTGATCCGATTTGCAGAAATGCTCTAAATCTATATCATTGAATTTACTTTATGGTTGCTAATTTCAAAGTCTACATGTAGATGATGTAGTGCAAAAAAAACAAAAACTTGTTTTTATATTTATTTACTTATTTATTTATTTATTTTTCATATATGTTCATTTATATTGAATGGTCATAGAATAGAAGCTAACTATAATAGGATTTATTATTATTGGTGTAGGCTTGCACAGTGTGTGCTGTAGTAGTAATAAAAGTAATTGATATGCTTGAATGCTGCTGGAACAGTGAAATGAATTTGAAATTTTGCTATTTGGATAAGTAACTTTAAAATCCCAAATAGTTTTTCCTTTCTTTTATGTGATTATTGAAAAATTATTGCCTGTGAAAATTTTGTACATACCAGGAAAGAATTCTTTTGCAATATCTTCTATATGCTGTGCCCATCCAGGACATAGTCAATCATAGTTCTCTACAATTTCCTATACTTTGTAGCTCTTAGCTATGTTTGTTTTTT